CACATACACACACATACACACACATACACACACATACACACACATACCACACGTCATGCACATCACCCTACACTCCTCATGCACACAATGGCATAGAAATGGCCTCCTGTCTTCATCTGCCTTTGTCTTGTTGTTTTCTTTTATTCTGTTCTTGTCTGTATATACATGTATGCGCTTGTGTGTGTGAGAGGTGTGCATATGTGTTTCTGAGTGTGAGAGACAGGTCTTAGCTTCTGACCAATGTGCACACTAGTAGCTAAACTTCAGGTTGCAGACCCCTTTGTTTGTCTGTTTTTGGTTTTTTTGAGACAGGGTTTCTTTGTGTAACCTTGGCTGTCCTGATACTAACCCGGTAGACCAGGCTGGCCTCGAACTCACAGAGGTCCACCTGCCTCTGCCTCCCCGAGTGCTGGAATTTAAGGCGTGCGCCACCACTGCCCAGCTTTGTACCCTGCTTTTGTTCAGGTTCTAAGGATTCAAGTTCTCATACTTTCCCAGTAAGTGCTTTATCCACTAAGCAATCTCTTCAACCCGTTTTTTCCTGTGTGTTGTTAAATAATGGTGTCTCAAGGGATTTTTTTTCTCCCGACTTTATGTTCTCTTTAGGAATTTCCACTTACATCACAGCATATTGGTGATTGAGATACGTTTTCTCTAGGCCCAGTCTCTTACCTCAGACTCACAGTTTTGCTGTTAACCTAACTCCATGGAGATTTCTCCAACTCAGCCTGCTCAAGGCTGAAACCTTGACATATCCTCCTCCCTTTTCACTAACTTCAATTTCTACCTCAGTGCACGACCTGACGGCTTTATTATTGCACTAAGGCTTGTACTCACTGCCTGGCCAGCCCAGCTCTGCTCCATGAGAGTGTGATGTTTTCTCTCTCTCTCTCTCCCTCCCTCCCTCCCTCCCTCCATTTCCGTGTGTGTGTGTGTGTGTGTGTGTGTGTGTGTGTGAGAGAGAGAGAGAGAGAGAGAGAGAGAGAGGTCTCTTTGTGTACCCTTGGTTGACCCAGAACTAACTCTGTAGACTAGGCTGGACTTGAACTTACACTCACATACCTATACACCCACAAACACAATCATATACATATCATTCAAAATAAATAAGTCAGAAAAAGACAACATTATTATACTTTCTATATTTTTTTGGTTTTGTTTGTTTTTTGTGACAAGGTTTCTCTGTGTAGCCCTGACTGTCCTAGACCTTGCTCTGTAGACCAGGTTGGCCTTGAACTCTTAGAGATATGACTGCCTCTACCTCCCAAATGCTGGTATTAAAGGTGTGGAGCATCACTGCCTGACCACATTTTCTACATTCTTACTGTCTCAATGCTAAATTCCATGAAAATGGAAAGACTTTCTCATCTCACCAATGTAATCAATCATTATTTGTTCATGAAAAATGTGGAATGTAAAAAATTAACTTAATTCTGATTTTGGTTTCAAGAAAATTTCAAAGAGCTGATCTCATTTGCTCTAAGTCTTTAAAATAAAACTGTGTATATGTGTGTAGTCTGCGTGAGTATATGCTGTATATATGAAGTACTTTTGGAGGCCAGAAGAGGGCACCGGGTCCCTGGGAGCTGGATTTACAGGTAGTTGTGAACTGCTCAGGTCAGATCCTCCGGAAGAACAGCAAATGCTGTTAACTGCTGAGCCGTCTTTCCACCTTTTCCCAGATCTTAAAAAGCATTTTAGGACTGGGTGTATTGGTGTATAACTGTAATCCCAGGACTTAAGAGGCAGAGCTAAGAGGACTTTGAGTTTAAGGCCAGCCTGGGCCAGTGTGAGTTGAGGCTAGCCCTGTCTCAAATTATTGTGTATCAAGGATATAAGCTCAGTAGGGGAGTTCTGGTCTTATTTGATCCCCAGGACTGGAAACAAATAAAGAAGCAAGCAAGCAAGCAAAAAGCATTTAAACAAGTAGAGACATGTACAAGGCGGACACCGAAGAGTGAAAATGCGGTACCAAAGGCTGAAGAGAGCGTTTTGAGATGAGGGGCAGTTGCTGCTCTTGTTGAAGACATGAGCTGGGTTCTCAGCACCCATCCTCATAATCACCTCCAGCTTCCAGGGATCCAACACTCTCCTTTGGCCTCCATAGCCAACTGCATGCGTGTGACACACACACGCAAACATACATATGTAGAGGTTGTAGAGATGGTTCAGTGATTAAGAGAACACACTACTCTTCCGGAGGACCCAAGTTCAATTTCTAGCACAACCTCTCTAATTCCAGTTCTTCCGGCCTCCTCAGGTGTCTGTACAAACATGGTGCAGGTGCACATTACAGAGAAGCAGACATTCTCACAAAACAAAGCCAATAAATCTTAACACACATACACAAGTAAAAATAAAAGCTCAAAAAGTATTATCTTCCATATATGAAGCAGTCTGATGTGGGTAAATTACAGAAGGAACAGGGGTCAGGTTCAATTACAAAAGACATGGGAATCGAAAATAATGGCCATGACCCTGCTCAAACATATGCTTTTAAAGTAAATCCTAATGCCAGTGTAGAGAAAGGACAGGCGTGGAGAGAAGGAAAGCAGACCAGCTAGCTCCACTACTGCAGAAAACAACAAAGGCCAGGAATCTGGCACCTGAGATGCTGGGAAGAACTTTCTCTTACAAAACATTAAGATGTGCTATTTTGCTTGTTGTTTGGTTGGTTTTTTGCTAGGCGAGGCAGCATAATGGCCAGAGCATGAAGTCATTCAGGAAGCAACCTGATCTCATTTCATCCACACACAGCAAACACAGAGAGAGCAGGAAGTGGGGCCGAGGTATCACCCCCAGTGACATCTTTTCCATTTCCTAACGGTGGTCCCATAACTTTCCCAAACAGCCCCACCAACTCCAGACCAAGTGCTCAAATAACTTGTCTTACTCAAATCACAGCCCCATGCAAACTTTTCCTAGAACCCCACCTCAAACACAAATAGCACAAGATGAGCCCAGACAAAGCCTTCTTAAACAGCTCTTCGTGAAGGCTAAAGTGAGGGTTTGTTAGTTCTGGAGTCAACCGAGGGACACGCCCCTGGGAGGAACTGGGAAGCATTTCCAGGAAGGATTATCTGAGGAGAAGACTCTTCCAGAGCCCACATCACCTTGGGAAGGAGTCCCAGATGTTGAGGGGTCTGGGAAAAGGACAGATCTGCTTGCTTCCCTTCATTGCCTCTGGGTTGGTGAGTGTGACCGGATCTGCAGCTGCTGGCTCTCTTCTCAGACATGTGAACTCCAGGATCCTCGTGGTCCAACGAGGATAGAAAACCAGCAACTATCTGGGCCTCGTCCAGGCCTTTAGCACCAGACTGGGGCTGATAAGGCATCTAATTTGCTACTAAGTTCTTACCTTCTCCAGCATGTAGACAGCCGTTGTTGGATTTAGGCAGGATGTGTAGACTGGAAGAATTTGAACGTGTTTCTCGTCCTCCCCACTTTTCCATATATAACAGATTTATGAAACATTTTGGTATCTGACAAAACAGAAAAAAAAAATCTAAGGGATCTTGGCAGACTTTCTCAGACACTCCTGGCAATTCCTGTCAGTTCTTGGTCTTGGATAACTGTTGATGCTTGCTTAGCTAGGTTCAAAGGAATGGTCATCGGTCTTTGTGAAACTTTCTGTCTGCTTCCACAATCGTCTTTAAAACACTGTCAGAGCCAGACCAAGATGGTGTCTGTCTGTAATCTCGGCACCCAGGAACCAAAGTTATACGGTAAGGCCCTGTCTCAAATAAAGCAAAGCAAAACGATAACAACAACAACTAAAGAAAAATCTGAAGAGATGTCTCTGTGTTCAGAGGACCCTGGTTTGTTTCCTAGCGCCCACAGGGTGGCTTGCAGCCATATGGAAGGACAGTTCCAGGAGCTCCAACACAGTCCAGCACCCTCTCGTGTCCCCCAAGAGCATTTCATGCTGTGGTGTATACACAGGCCGTCAAAAGACTCATCCCCCTAAAATAAGATAAAGACTAGAAAACCCAAACGAAATAATCTGGCTCCATGAATAGAGAGGCCACTTAAGATCATCCTCTGCCCCTTGACTGTGGGAGAAGAGTGGCCATGGAACAAGAGGGAACTAATTCCACGTCCTCCTATCTATACGTTTCTCTGTTAGGACACCTGGCCCTGGGCTTCTCAAGTGGAGTCAAGTGGAGTCTGACAGGCTCTGCTCACAATAGTTCCAGTCAGGAAGTTCTTAAAGACTTTCAACCACAAACTTCCAAAAGCTTGCTCTGGGGAATTTTAGCATGTTCTTCATTTCTGGTTTTCATTTGACATAAAGTACAAAGGAAGCCAAGAGAGGCATCTGCACCAACGATGCCAAAGGGAGTCTTCTGTTACTTATTTAGTAGGTGTGGTGCATTTGCCTTTTCCTTGGGAGTTCCACTTGGGAGGCAGTTCCTGGCCATGCAGGGCTATGCAGTGAGACCCAGTCTCAAAAACGAAAAGAAAAGATAAACTTACTTTTTAAAGACTAAAAGGAACTTTCGAAAGTTATCCTCACCCGCTTGGTTCACATAGTGAGCTCCAGGACATACATACACATACATACATACACACACACACACACACACACACATATATATATATATACATATATATATATGTGTGTGTATATATATATATATATATATATATATATATATATATAGAGAGAGAGAGAGAGAGAGAGAGAGAGAGAGAGAGAGCTCTGTCTCAAAACCCAGCTTCCAGACCAACAAATCAAAGCCTCACCATTCTTGTGCTGGGCAAGGCTGCCTAGATCTCAGCCTCCACAATGTTGTCCTGAAAGATCCTGACCACACTGGTCATTGGCTTTTCCCTATGATTTTTTCTTTGGCAGTTTTAATTGTTTTGTTTTCTATTTTATTTTGTGTGAGACAAGAAAAGTAAGAAAAACCTAGAACTTCTCAAAAAAAAAAAGATTAAGCAAGCTGTGACAGTTTT